AAAAGTATGTAATAAAAAAGTATGTAATAAAAAAGTATGTACTAAATTAATTTAGCACAGACCTCCTAAGATTAACAAAACACACCCTGAAGTTCCTCTTTAAGATAAGCTCCATTATTTTTATAAACATTTGTAGTCACAACTGGCCTTTTTAGAGAGTTCAGAATTTGCACCCTGGGTAGACAGCTACTTAAAAAAGGAAAACTCACTGTGCTTTCTCTATCTACACTTTATAGCTGATCCACTTAGCTGCCTAGGATTTTTCTAGGAGCAGAGTTATGCACCATTTTCATCATTTCACAGCAAGGCTCTCCCCACTTTCCAGACATGCAGGTTCCCGGGGAGAACGGAAATTTCTTGGGGATCATATTAGGCTGTGGACCTGTGTCTCCTACTGAGCAGTAGGATTGCAATACCATCCTCTCCAAAATGGGAAAACATCCACTCATGCAACAACGAGGTGGGCTATACTCCCTCCAAAAGTAGTGCAAATCACACTCGCTCAAAAATCCAGAACAAGTATTTATCATGCACTACCCAAGAAAAAGAAGGAAGTATCAGGCTTAGAGCTTTCTGCCTAAATGACCCAACAAGAAATGAAAGAAACTGCCCTTTTCAGAAWGGCAGTGTCAGCATGGGTGATAATTTTTTTGGATTTTAAGGCCAGTGAAGGCTACAGAGTTCACGGCACAGACCAAAGCACCTCCTCACAGAGCAGGAGTTCAGTTATAGCCATTCCTTACAGAATCTTGTGCTGCTTTGGCAGGTTAAATTAATCTAAATAAGGGAGAGGCACATGGTTGGTATCTGCTTGAGGATGTAAAGCAGTGCTTAAMCTTGCACTTAAGTAGGGAAATAAAAGCCTACTGAAAAAAAAAAAGTGAAGTTGACACAATGAGGGGCTGCAGTCATGGCTCATGTAGCAGCAGTACAAAGGATGTCTGCAAAAGAATGGATGATGAACTGAGTTCAGTGGCACATGAATTTTTTTGTACATGGTTTGTTCAATTCATTTATTCCACGTTGGCTGGTGTCACCTATCCCAAAGATTTCAGGGCTCTTCTCTGTCATAGGTTTTCACGGTGGTTTCAGCTGCAGAGTCACTGTCTGCCTTCACCAGGCAGCCACAGGCACCAGCCTGCAATGCCCTGCAGCATCCATGTCCTGGTAAAACTTCTCCATATCCACAGCCAGCCAGTCTCTTCATTAAAAAACTTCCTCTTGGACTGACACAGTGTTCATTTTCCCGTGTCTGTCATGTCCTCTAGCCARGGGCCCACTTGCCACAGCTGGAACAGGGGCTGCCCTAGCCAGGACCAGGGACAAGAGTCACAGCTGGCATAAAATAAGGGTTGGTTCAGACAAAGAAAGTAAAAATACTGCAGTTCACACCACAAAGACAGACCCATTCTTGAGCTCTGTCAAATGCTTTAGATGCACACCACCTCTTTTCCCATCTCACCATTTCCCCAATATCCATTACAACACAAGCTTCCCCACCTGGCCTGTGTCCTCCCAAACATCTCAAGCCAGCAGTACCCTGGCCACAGGCAATATTTTTCATTCAAATTTTTGTTTGTTTTATTAAAATACTAACAGTAAATATATTAATTAGTAAGACAGAGCAAGTAGGAAACATGAGGCAGGAAGGAAAGATTTGACCAGCTATAAATAGCTGACAGAATAAACAGGCAACTGCAAACCACGGGCTGTGAAGCTGTGTTTCACATGGAGGCAGCACTTGCTGCTGGGAGACTTCCACCAGTTTGTTTGTTTGCTTTTAAAACAAAAATTATTTATAATGACGCACAYCAGGTGACAGATTTGCCACTTTCTGGGAATACATTAATACTTAGTCATCACTGGCAGGTGTTTTTTCTACCTCCTGTGCAGTACTTGACCCACTGTGCATGCCAGAGGCAAGATAGGGCTTTTGGCATGGACTGCCCTTACCCCAAAATCTTGGGATGTGCTAGCAACCTGGGCAGCTGCTTGCAGATCAACAGGATGGGTCACAGCACATTAGCTGAGCCTGCAGGAGGCTTAGGACATCTCACAGAAATGGAGTTTTTGGGAATAGGAGGCATAGTCAGACAGGAGAACACATGAGCACATAGACGGCTCTGCCCTAGGGGCACAAAACAGGAGGGGATCCTGAAAGGTCCAAGGGAAACATGCCTGGATGCTATGGATGAGCCTCAGAAACATTCCTGAGCAGGGATAAGGAAGGATGCAGAGGCTTGTCCTGAAGTGCCCACAGACCCTTCACAGAAAGGTTTCCCAGGGAGTGGGGACGGTGGCTCTGAGCAGGCCTGGCATAAGCTGCTGGGAGCATTTATTGGGTGCAGAGGCTCAAGTATTTTGTTTTCCCAGGAAGACAGGTTGTCAAGGACAGGAGGGATCACCCACTATGGCTCCCACAGTGGCTGGCCCAGGTCAATGCGTGTGGCAGGGGACATGTTCCTGCAGACACTGCAATGACTCCTCCTGGGCCCAGGCTCCCACTCAAAGACCCGTTGCCTGYGGCTGCTTCCACACAGACTATTCCCAGTTCCCCCAGGCAATAAAGGCATGCCTGCTTTTCTCAGCCACACAAACATCACAGCCCCTTTCGAAGGTGACTGTGCTCACCACCACCCTGGGCCAGTCCTTACCTGTGGGTGAGGTGCTTGGGTGAGCGGGGTGTTTTTCAGTCAAGTCTCTGCACGAGTRAAGAAAAGGCAGGAATTCTTAGCCTGACTAATGCTCTGCCACTGAATTTTAGCCATCACTACAGYTGAGCTCAGTAACCTGTTTTTATCTCCCAGAAAATCAGCCTGCCTAGACACAAAGGTGTTAAGAGATGGTGAGCACAATCTCCACACACACTCCGTTTCAGTGTGCTCCAGTACCCCCTGTTCAACATGCCTCATTTCTTATTTAAATGTGCCAGGCTTTAAATTGCAACCCCTGTTGCTTGTTATGCCTCTGTCTCCTAGATTAAAGAGCCCTAAAATGTCACCCTTTCAGTGTTATCATCTGCCCTCTGCTATTATGGTCCCTCAGTAAATAAAAGGGACTTCCCACTCATTATTTTATACCCCACAATGACAGTGCTTTTTCAGATCAATTAGTTTTCACTCCTCTTATCTGCATTCAAGCCTCACCTCCCTTTCATTGTTTCCATTGCCTGCTCAGGGACCTTTCCTCTGTCTTCTCTGACCTCTGGGAGAGGAGCTGAGCTAACTCAAAAGGGGAGCTTGGTGTGAGGACATCCGATCTGCTTATGGACCGGCCGACCTAATGACGAACACGGCCGATGCCTTTGTGCGTGTCTGAGCTTCTCACTGCACATCCTGGCAAGATAATGATTGCTTGCTTGCCTGTAAAGTCACAGCCCCTTTAGCATGATCAGCTTGTACAAGACACATCAATTTTTGTGAGGGGGTACTTATCTATAAGGACTTTCATCCTGTATCTTGTGCACAATTACCTTTCAATAGGAACATGTCAACWGAAACCATCTTATTTTACACACTTTCCCTTTCTTGCCTGAAATATGTAAAAAAATCAGGGCAAAATCTTTTTCTGCAAAACTAACTTGACTAGGGATGCTCTTTGGATTTTCTTCCTCTCTCCTACAAATTAGTAGTTTTTCACTCTGACAAGCACCCATCCAATTCTCTAATACACTGAAACCAGAAACTTATCTTAAGTGGATCAGACCAACTTCATCATCCATCTTGAGAGAAGTTTAAAATCTAAGTTGTCAACAATGTATASTTAAAAGCACATTGAAAACCATTGAAGGCCAGTTTGGACGACATGACAATGAAATATCTTTTAAGGGAYGGTAGGAAACTGTGTTTAGATTTTAAATATAGCTTTTCAACCCCTTGGTATGGTTTTACAAAGTAGGAGCAGCATCCCTCTTCCCCAAAATATCCTAACCACATCATGTTAGAAATGGAGCTTTACTACTTCACTTTGTTTCCTAGCTACTGACATTTTTTTAGCTTAGTAGTAGAGACAAGCAGTGAAATTTGGCATTCAGACTGCAACTTCATAAAAGCCTTAAAACCCCTCATGCATATATACATATCTATCTATATATACATCTGTAACAATTACAGTTGCTAGCATACTTCTGTTTTCAGAAGTGTTTCTGCTGCCAACCTCCATCCTGGTTACCCACTCACTCCCATCCCAGGGCCCCCTCCAGCCTAGTCCTGGACTCCCCCAGTTCTGCCCCTACCTTCCAGCCCACTCCATCCCAGCCCCCAGCTCTGCCCTACACCCCTTTCCCACCCCAGCCCCATCTGCTGTCAGCGCATTCTCTCTTCTCTCCTCTCAGCCTTTCCAGCTCTACCAGTCCCTTTACATTCATCACATTAAAGAAAACATTTCATGGTCATCTCTTTTATCTCCTTCAGTGAACAGTTAATCAGAAAAAATGCTTTCATGTTGCTAAATCAGGGCCAATGGGCAAAGCCAGGCTGACAAGAGACATTTTCCTCTGCCACTAACCTGGGCTAAATAGTATTAATTACAGAGGCTGGGCTTTGATTGCTGGACTGTGGTGGTGGGGCTGGTGAGAGTTCCCTCCTCCCCTCTGCTCCCTCCCACCACAGACCCACACTGCGCCTCCCTCACCTGCCTGCCCTTTGCATCCCCACCCCATGTCACAGCGCAGCTGCAAGCGGGATCCCCTAAATCTTCACCTGGACTGCTCAGACAGCAGCTCAGGAAGAGTCAGGTCCCTGAGCTGGAGAATAGAGCCTAGCTGGGTGGTTGGGGTGTCCCCGCCCTTGCCTCCCCCATGCTTGTCTGCCCAAGGCAATGTCTTTTCCAGGACAGAAACTGCTTCTTTCTGTGTGTTTCAGAGAACCTGAGTTGTGGGAGGCAACTCAGTAGACATCACCCCATACAGTATTTCTCAGCCTGTGGTCTGTGGGCCACAAGTYGTCTGTCAGATGTCAAAGGGACTGCAAAATGACTGCAGACAATTTTTTGGGACAGACATGTCCATCCTCACACATGCCACAAAGAAGCAAAGACAACAGGCAGTGGGAGCAGAAGGCAAACTGARGACAATGTGCTACAACTCAGTCCTCTGTGGGGTGGTCCAAAGGTGTTTATTGCTCTTTCAAAGAAAGAAAGAAAAAGCRGGCCAGACTAGCCCCACAGACACAAGAAGCCCGTCTGCACATCTCTGAGGACATTATGAAGKAAATGATGCTGTGCCCCAAGCATAAATATCCCCCACGTCTTCCAGGTGGGAAGGCGACAAACTTGCATCCCAATGGCRGCATCAGCAAACAACTGGTTACCAATTCTGCTGAATTGGCTTCCCACAAATTAGCAAAGCAGACCAAATCCCCAGACAAAATGAATCACAGATGAAACACTCTGCTTTTTAGGGGCAGCATGCCACTAACTGCTTTGCCCGTCCTTCTCTGAGCTGAGCAGGGCTTTACAAAAGTGACCACAGGAGGAATTTTCAGGGCGGTCACTCTCTGTTTCAGAGACTTCCCTTGGGATGGGTGGCACAGCTGGAGGCCTGAGTCAAGCTGTGGTTTGAGCTGATTAAGGTGACTGTCCCTGGTGACCCACAGYGTCGAGCCCTACTCCCATGCAGCTGGTGGGCAGCATAGCAGAAGCACAGCACTCCATACAGCAGGCACCTCCAGATTCACTAAAACTCATCTAGAGCACCCAGGCATGACAATATTTTTAAATGCTTTTTTTCTTTGTTTTGAGTGTTTGCTGCTKTATATGAAGACCTGTTTCTCCAGCCAGAGTGAGCTGGAATGTGAGCCCAACCAGATGAGCTTTGCAAGTTGGGGGTCCCACATTCCCATCCTGATATTGGAGACCCCATGTCCTTCCTCCTCCTCTGTGCAGCATCTGGTTTTCACCCTGCCTCCTGAGTCAATGCTTTGCTCTAGCTTCCACAAGCACAGGGAGAAGGGGTAGATCTGGTCCATTTTGCCCCAGTCCACACTGATCTTCTATGTGCTCTTCTCGAGGACACACGGACCTGGTTTTTCCAGACAGCAACAACAGGTTGGAGTCTCTATCAGGGCAAATCAGCACACAGCCTTGGAGATCTGCCAGCACAGTCTGGCCTCTTAGACACATTAGCTCTGAAGAGCAAGAATTGGAGAATTTGGAAAATACCTGGGGTGATCAGGGCCCAAAAACCAAAGTCAGCTAAACCTTGATATAGCAGTAACTTGCATGGATCCAGATGCTCAAGACAAGTTTACTCCAAGTTTTTTTGGGAACAGGGTCCTTTGGACTACCTGGATCTCTCGGGCAAAGGATCTCAGACTTGTCAATAGCTTCAYTCACACCTTCAAATTATAGTGCAGCACTTAAGCAAATGAAATACCCAAGTAACCTAATGAGGTAGTTGTCCCCACACCACTCCTTTCAACATTCAGATGTGTTTTAAGCTGACAGTGCTGTATTTATAGACATAGTGTAGCAGTTACCGTGCAACACCCTGGAAGAGCTGTTTAGGAGGCAGAAATAGGCATTTTGCTGTCTAGGAGGGCAGTACAGAGCCTAGGGGACAAACACATCCTCAGGCAACATGCAACAGTGAGGGAAGCTAAAGCTTGAGTGGCCATTGCTGAGTTTAGTTAAGRGCCTGTTGATATGAATGACAGCTCAGAGTCCTTGTCGCATCATAATTCARACTATGAACAATGCAGTGGCTTTTTATATTAACTTCAGATATTAAGGACTCTCTTCATTGCCAGAAAGATGAGAAACTTTTCCTTTTTTTTTTTTTTAACAGTGAAAATATAGAAGATAAGAACAGCTTGGATCAAATCCTCCATCTTGCCCAAAGTTTTCTGGCAGGCCAATTTTTGGTTGCTTCTGAGAGACAGGCAAAAAGCTTTGCACGAGTGGGATAATGCCCTTCCAAAGGAGTTTCTTCCTCAGAAGTTCTCTCTCTTGCTTAGAAGTTGTCTTCTGCCTTGAGGCAGGGTGCTTTCTGTCCAAAGCTACTTGATTTGACTTTGTTCTTTGTTTATTTTCAGCTCTGGAGGAGGCTGTCACTGTGAATAATGGGTGTTTGGTACTGGAACAAAATTGTCAGATGAATATTGTCTTCTGTGGTAAATTCCAGGGCTGCTCGATTGCAAGACAAATCGTACCTTCCTGGAGTGGGTGGCTGGTGCCTTTGGAGATGGTACTGGGTGCCTGTGCAGCACATCCCTGTCAGCCCACAGAAGGTCATAACTCCCTGCTGAAGTTCTGCATGGGAGGGCCAGGCCATTCTCCAGCCTGAGCACTGAGCTGRGCCTGCCTGAAGCCCTCCTGAGCTCCACACTTGGGAATCTGCTGCCACATGGTGGCATACACTCTCTCTTCCTGGCCCTGGGAATCCCTCCTTGGCTTCCAAGAGATAGCACATGTGGAAAGAGCACTTCTGAGCTCTGCATTGTAACTAGCTCACCAAGTTTCCAAGGGACCCATTCTGGAGCTGCTAGAAGCTTTTCCAAGAGCATTATTTCTTATTTAGAGCTACACAAAAGTATGAGGAGTGCTGGCAAAAAATCTGAGAGGATCTCAGGTGTTTTGGAGTCAGCAGGTAGGATTTGTAAATGAAAGCCCTTTAGCTAACCTGAAAACACAAGAAATAATTCCACAAAGCAGACCAAAGTCTGCATCCACCTTCCTGAATTTCTGCTCTGCAGAAGATGCAAAGGCAGTACCAGGCAGAAAAAGAAACTAGAGAGATCATTCCTCTTCCTGACAAAAGCAGAAAGGTGATTGTCACAGGAGATGGTGAAGAGCATCGCTCGCTCTGTCTGTGTGCAGCACTTTCAGTTTCCAGCAATGTTCCACTCCTGGAGGCTGCAGGTTGCTTTGTCCTGGGTCAGGCAGCTGCGTTCCACTGAGAGAGGATGCATTTGCAAGGCAGCTGCTCAAAACAAGGCTGACTGCTTCCTTCCAGAAGGGCAGTGTGCCTGTGGGTGGAAAATCCGTGGGAAGTGCCCTGGGGCCACCTTTGCTCAGGAGGCTGTGAGGCAGCRTGCTCAGAGCCTGTCATTCCCACCGTGCTCTGTGTAGAGCATGGAGACAGCAGCTTTGCAGGCTTGGCTGGCTGGGAAATGCAGGAAGCCATCCAGCCCAACAGGGAGGGTGGCAGGGCAACGGACCTGCCCAAAGGGTCACCTCGGTACAGCCACTTAGTTTGCAAAGGACTTCGGGGAACTGGGCCCAAACCAATAATGCCTGGAGTCTGGAACAGAAATACTCATGCCTGGCATCGATGRCATTCCTGCTCTCCTCCGCACCAAGACAAAGTTGAAATCCATCCAGCAGCAGCTCCTGGACACGGGAAAAATACAGATTCTGTGAAAATGGCAAGTTGCCACAGACCTTCCTCCCATCCCACCACATCCCATGCCCATTGGGAAAAGCTGCACCTATTTCCTCTTCCAGCTTTACCCCTGCTGCAGTTCTCTGGCAGTGAGAATAATGCAGGGAGCAACACAGGATGGGCACGCTGACGTTGAGAGCAGTAAAGTGTGAGAGAATAAGGATAGGGAGGTGTGACCCTAGGGAGGAAGAGGGACTGTCCAARATGCAGAATGGGAGGCAGGGACGGGAGGGGGAAAAGAATAAAGGTGCTGTGGGCAACATATTAGGAAACTGTGCTGTGGTGGGATTTTTGTGTTGGCAGGACACTGGTGCCCAGAGGCACTGAGTGCTCAGGCTTGCAGAGCAGGGATTGGAAGGACCATCTATCCAGCAGGCCAAGTAAATGTCTTCATGACACATCACAGAGCTGCCCCATCTCCTGCCTCTGCTGCTCCTCAGCTGCCTGAGCTGCAGGGGAGAAAGGGGTGGCCAGGAAAGGGATTTTGCAGATGTTGGGACAAAATATGTAACAAGGCTATTGCAAGCTCAACCGCTGTAATTCCATATGGTTTGGTGTCCCAGGGCAGTACAAGCAAATAAGAGGGAGGCTTTGAGATTACTGGTATCCAGCTATGGAGCAGGCAGGCACCTAGGAAGAGCTCTGGAACCATGCCGTGGCCTGTGTGGCAGCAATCAGGCCACTTATTGTCAACTGTGCCTCTGTTCCTCTCCTCATGGGGACGGGCTAGCCCTCTGCCCCAGATCCTCTGTCCTCGTTTCTGCTCTTTGTGCTTGCCTGCTGCATCCTGTTTCACGGAAAAGGATTCACCGTGTGGGGCAGGGCCACGTCTGTGCCCTGGGGGCTCATGCTGTGCCGGGGAGACCTCAGATATCAGTGAAACCAGCCTGGGTGATTAACAGCGGCAGAAGGTGCTGCAGAAGTGCTCGGGTTGATTCCCAGCAGAGGCACTGTGTGAAGGGGTGAACACATCAAAGGGTGTCTCCCTTTCATCTCGCTGCTCCGAGCAGACGGCTCTGAAGCATCTCTTCCAAGGACAGTATGGGGGAGAAGTCTAATAACCTTACAGTGTGGAGCCCTGCCAGCGCTCCCAGTGGCCGCTGTGGCGGCAGCTAAAGGGGCGCCTTCTCTGCTTCCACCCTAATTGCCCTTAATTGGCTCCTGCCTGCTGGCAGCAGAACGGCAAGGGCTCTCCAAGGATCACTGCACAAGAGTGACAGCGATTGGAGAAGGATTGTCAGCGCCTGCCTTGCCCCACCTCCACCACACTCTCCCCCACCCACCAGAGCAGTACAACAACCTTTCCAAGTACGGGAWTTTTTTGTCAGGACATGACTTTGTCTTTCCAGGCCCCATTGTGCTGGAGGGGGCTTTGCCAGGGAGCTGGGGCAGGGATTAAGGCAGGGTCTGTGTCCCAAACCCAGAGGAGGGGCTGTGTGGCCTTGTGCTAAGGGTGATATAAGCATTGTCCCTTCATACAGCACTGTGGCCGTCCTGCCCAAGAGCACTGCTGCTGCTCTGCCATTGCCAGGGCCTCCTGTGCAGGTGATCAGAGCCTTGAGGTCCCCCTGCAGAACCAGCACACCAGGGGATTCAGCCCTCAAAACCCCAGTTTCCCTAGAGAGAGGTGCTGGTGTCCCGGGGCAGCCAGGTAGGAATGGTGCTGCATCCCAGTGTGATCTCCTGGCTGTGGCTTGCACTGTTATCTTGGGGACGTGGACAGGTGGTAAGGAGGGCTCCTCTCTGTCCCTGCTCCACATCCCAGTGCTGGGTGAGGGCACACAAAGCAGAGGGTCCCTGAAACTCCCCTTCCCCTGTGAGGGTTTTCCAGGACACGCTGGCCCTTGGCTCATCTGGCCCCAGTTTTCTGTGGCAGACCTCCTCACACTTTCCCTCTCCGCCTGACACCCACACAAACCATCCCCTGGTGTGAACAGGAGGGTGGGAAGCTGCAACACAAAAAGGACCTTATAGCCCTGACCAGGCATGTCCCCATCAGACTGCTGCTCTGCTCCTGCTCCCAGCCAGGACAAACCCTTGCTGCAGCAGCAAAATACAGCCGAGACATCTTCTCATCTTCACATGGTTCCCACATCCTGGCCAGGGCCGGTGTCCACAGGCAGCAGGTGTCATGTGAGCAACATGCTCCATGGCAGACTGGCAGGGGCATGGAAATGCAAACAGGGCACAAATTCAGTTATGATGGAGGGAGCTGCAGTGTCTTTCCCACTGAGGTTATTTTTAAACTGTTTATCAAAGGCTTGCTGCTCTTGGCAGCAGGGTCGGCTATTTTTGGATGCCTGCTTCACCTCTCCTCGGAGATGTGCTGGCATAGGCTTGTCCCTTCTYTTGCCTGGCACCCTCAGACCTCCCGTGGTCTCTGAGGTTTGCCCCGCTATGGTCACTGCTGTTTGCTTCCTCGCATGTCAAGGGACTTTTTAAGCAGGAGGTCTGAGCTCAGGCACAGTCTCATAATTAGTCCTTATTAGCAAAGCCCCTCTCATCCTCTCCTGCTGTCAGTGGTGACACAGCTGCTTGGATATGGGCACAATACACACTTGTGCCTGCTACTCTTCTTCAGGATTGGTGACATTTGTCCTGACCTAAGTCTGGCACCCTGGAGCTTTGCATTCAGGTTTTGTCTCTGCTRTTGGCTTTCCACTTGCTGCTGCCACATCCCTTCATCTGTCTAGAAGAGCAAAGCCATGTTTCCCTCCTCCACAGAATTGCTGGGACAAGTAAGTGGGACAGAATGACTGAAAACTCRGCCCTCACAGGGCTCTTCTCTGTGGATGGGTGAAGCACAAACTCACTGAGGTGCAACACTGGCAAAGGTGGTCTGGTGAGGCAGGGCTCAAAGCAGGTGAAGGGAGGCAACAGTGTGGCTGTGTGTTGAAATCAGTGAAAGCACAGACTGGAATGGGAATGCAAAGCAAGCCATCAGGCTCTGAGGTTARTAATAGGCTGTCTGAGTGTTGACTGTGTAAAAGAAAATCAGYCCTTAAAAGAAGCTCACTGGCAGTGCTTGGCCCTGACAGAATAATCCACAGGAGCCCAAACAAATGACTGGCCTCGTTACCGACYGCAGCCTCAAGCATGCCTTGAGACACGCTGGGCTCACATAAAGAAATCAGCACTGTCCACACTGCCCCTGCAGTACCAGAGAAAAAGACTTGGAGAAGTTTCCCAAGAACATCAACAATTTCAGGGACTTCCTTTTGTTAACAAAGCACAAACCTTCTGCTGAAGAAARATTTTCTTCATTCAAATATGATTTTGGAAAGCCAAAGGTACGTGCAGGCCAGGAGATTCTCCTCCAGGAATGAGGACAGAAGAAAACCAGCGCTGGCAGTGAGAGATTTGTACTCATTTGTGAGAYCTGGACTCAAAGAGAACGGATGTGTCTTTTCTTACAGGAAGTGACTGGATGAAAAGGTGAAAACCACTTACTTGGGCTGGTTAGGAAGCTTTAAGCTATACAAGCACACATGATTGCACTTTCCAACCCTGAGAGTTAATGGACRGATTTCTCTGAAATGAGAGACTGGGGATCTAAAAGCCTCACTGGCTTAGGCTTCAGAGAAAATGAGGCAGAGCCGAYTGTGACCTGTGACATCCACCACCCTGTCAGCCCTGTGCCTCACTGTTCACCATCTCCATGGACAAGATAGTCAGAGGGGGCTGGAAATGCTGCCAGACCAACAGCTAAGAGCTCAGGGGGAAAATCCTCAGCGTAAAGGATCGAGGGACAAATGGCAAAGGAGAAACATCAGTGAGGGAAGGGAGATGCACCTCCACGCTGAGGACACAGAACTGTATCCARCAGCACCCACAAGTGCTGGAGTGTGTGTAAGACCGCTATGCCAGCACAAGGCAGTGTGCCTGGGAAAACAGGCATTCTGATTTCTAAACAAGTCAGGAATAAAATGGGCAAGGCCACTAGGCAGCTCCTGCAGACATGCGCCAGGGGAGGTGACAGCAGCATGTGGCTGGCTATGGGGAACAGCTCTGTCAGTGTGGCCAGGACAAGTTTCATGGGGATCACATGCTCATGGAGTGAGTGCCTCTGGTGCACTAAGGCTGCTGGCACAACATGCATTGCTGGCATGAGGACTCACTGAGGCAAGTTGCCCCCTGACATCAGTGGGCATGTTGGATGTGAGCGGACATTCCCTCGGTGAGTGAATGTGATGCCACGCTGTGTCATCAGGAGAGGGTGCAAAGGAAAAATCACACCCTTGACCTTTCTTCTTAGCAACAGGGGGAGATTCACTGTGAGCAGTAGGGTGATCAGGAAGTCTAAGGGAAGCRTCCATGAGAACCTGAGTCTGCCTGGATGAGGAATGAGTTCACTGTTTCCAGTCAGAGAACTCAACAGGACAGAGTTTCAGTAAGGAAACAAATGGAAGGCAAAAATGAAATCAAATGTGTTGGATCCCCCTCAAACCTGGGTTGCCTTCTGCCCTGGGCCACCGACAAAAGAGAGGTGAGAAAAATGCATCAGAGGGCTTTGCACAGTACAGTGGCAAAGAGCCTGTCRTGGCACCCTTGCCTTCCTGGGGTCATGACAATACAGAGGTATGTTTCCCTGAAATCAGCACACAGAGCTTGGACTGGAAAATATGTGAATCAGAAAGCTGGGAGAAAAGGGCTTGGCACAAGGTGGAAAAGAGACAGGAATTTAAAGGAACAGTGGGGAGAGGGATATCATCCTGGGCATCACAGAGAACACTAACAAACATGAATGCAAGCAACGCCTGCACACTACTAATGTACAGAAGGGTCCTGGAGCCTCCCTTTTAATCCATATGTCATTTGAGCTGACAAGACATAGGCCCTGCATATAGGCCCCTTCATCTGACAATGTTTCTGTCAGAGAGTTTCTCATTACCAGCCATCACTGTGTTTTGTACGATGTCCTGATGGGCCAGCCACCTACCCCAAAATC